GGCCAGGGAGGAGGGCTGGAGAGAAGTGTCACATGGAGGGCACAGTTCAGGAGGGAGACGCTACCAGAGCGCATCCCCCTCTGCTCTGCTGGGCACTGCCGTTGGGTGCAAGGTCCCCCAAAGAGATGGAGGAAAGGGTGTCCGGGAGGGACATGGGAAGCAGATGTTCCAAGGGAGCAACCTAGGCTGTTGTAGAATAATAGTAACCCTCACAACTACTGCCCGCAGGTACAGAGCACTTACTGTGACCCTACCCCTTGCGAATGTTAGTGCAGCGAATCTTCAGGACAGCTCTGTGCTGTAGGCTCTGTCCTTTTTTTTTTTTTTTAAATTTTTATTTATTTATGATAGTCACACAGAGAGAGAGAGAGAGGCAGAGACATAGACAGAGGGAGAAGCAGGCTCCATGCACCGGGAACCCGATGTGGGATTCGATCCCGGGTCTCCAGGATCGCGCCCTGGGCCAAAGGCAGGCGCTAAACCGCTGCGCCACCCAGGGTTCCCTGTAGGCTCTGTCCTTAATGCCATTTTACAGATGGGAAAACTGAGCCCTCGAGAGGTAAGTCACCTGGGCCCACACAGGAGCCAAGCTTGTGCAGTTGCACCCCTGACTAGCTACCCACTCTGGCTCTGTGAAGGAAAGGGGCCCAGGACTGGGGTGGGGATGCCCCTGGGGTCCTGGGCCACATGAGGGTGTGCATATGTGTGAGGACAGGAGGTAAGGCCTAGCTCATGCCCGTGGGAGTCCTGACCCCCAGGCCCCAGCTATCTCGAAGCTGCAAGTAACTTCTGGTTGAAGGGCCTACGTTTGGAGGTACCTTTTGTTTCTTTGTCAAAGACAAGGGTGTGGGTGACCATGGCCAGGCTAGGGGGGCACCAGAGGCTATGAGATGGACAAACAGCTACGATGTGTTCCCACAAAGCTGGGAAGACAGCCAGCGCCTTAAGCAGGGGGAGGAAACAAGCCAGACCATAAGCAGAGTGGGTGACACAGCATGGCCGCTTTGAATCCCAGCACCGTGCCCGGTTTCTCATCTGTCAGGTGAGATCTGAGGGTCCCACCTCATGGGGCTGCTGTAGGGTTTCGTGAGCAAACATCGAGGCGCCTTCAGCCCGGGGCACAGCCAAAAGAGGTCAAAGCCATGAGGACGACAGTGGCACCTCCACACAGCCCGTTGTCGTCCCCCCCCCCCGACTCAGTTAAGGCAGAGGAGAGTTGATGGAAGAGGGGGTCCCCATCTGTGATCCCCCTTCCCACTACACATACAGCAGCTCTCAGGGGTCTCTGTCCTCCAGGTAGGACACGGGGGGGTAGACCTCCTGTCAGCCCCCTTGCTGGTTTCCAAAGAGAAGGGCAGAGGTATAAGGCTCTATACTTCACCACCTGGGATTGGGGCCACTGAAAACTGGGGTCCCCCCATTGAGCAGTTGCTCTACCTTGGGCTAAAGAAATTCAATTCCCTAAAAAGAGACGCTCTTTAAAAATAACCAAGGGTGAGCAGAATGAGCATTTCATGTTCCTTTGTGGAAGGAAAACTTGCCCCTGAGCTAATTAAAGCCCCTCCACCATTTCTTTTGACGTCAAATATGTCAAAATTAAGCCGACTGGCAGCTCAGAGTGTTTATTAATGTGAAAAAGGAGCAATTATCCTAAACATCCACAAAGTAATACAGGGGAGCTCCCTGGGGTGGGAGCAGTAATAGGGAGGCCCTGCCCCCGACTCGTGTGCACGCAGGCCCGTCTGGACCCTGCCGGCGTTGCAGGAGCCTGGCACAGAGGGCTGCCCGCCACCACTCGCCCCTCCCCATCAGAGGCCCCCGCGGGGCTCTCCCCCACTCCCACGTCCACCCCTCACCGTCTGAGCTCTGGCAGGGCTGGTCCGCACCCCCACCCTTCCTCATCGGGAGCTGGGGCTCCAGGAGACGCCGCCCTGGGAGTGGGAGAAGATTGCGTAGTTACTCATGCAGGGCAGATCCGGACGCTGCTGGGAGCCAGGAGGCAATTGGAGAAAGATTGATTTTAGAGAGTTGGAGCAGGAGTGTGTAAATCAGCGAGAGAGCACCAGGCACTGCACTCGGGCCTTAAGCGATGTCACCTCCGAGGTCACAGGCCTCTGACTGAAACAGCCTCCCGTCACCGTGACCTACAAGGGGAGGTGTTTGTGCTCAGCCAGCCCAGGAGCCAGAGCATCATAACTCTTCCCAAGTGCCCTGCCCCGGTCAGACACCCAAGAAGCTTGGTCCTGGGAAGGCTCCTCCCTGGAGCTCCTGTGGCTCCTTTTGTCCCTAAGACACTGTGTCCTGCCAGGTGTCCCCACGCTGTCCGCCCCCCTCAATCTGGCCACATGTTCTTGCAGTCCCACGGGACACCGCGAACAGCCGGCTGCCTGGAGATGGCAGCCCCAGAAGTGGTGACCAGCCCCCCTGGCCCACCAGCCACCCTTGGGGCCTTATAGGGGTGTCCCCTGGAAATGCTGTGACATGGGCCTCAGGCATCTTCAGCTGCATACTCAGGACACTGGTCTGCTGGAAGCCTCTGTGGGATGGGACCACACTGGAGGTCACTGTGGGTGCTACTCTGTGACTGACCAGGCTGGGAGGGGTTGGGGCCCGCATCCTGCCCTGGAGGTCAGAAGAGCCCACCATCAGGGAGGGCCAAGAACGGGGCTACGGGCTGCTGTCCCCGCCGGTGAGCAGAGAGGAGCTGCTGATTCTGGGCAGGAGAGCAGTGGGGGCTGGAGCTCAGGAGGGTCACTGGATAGAAACTCTGCGCCCGCCTCGTGGGGACACCAGCTTCAGGGGGTGTGACATGACACAGGCCGTCATTGGGTCGGGGGGGTTGTGATTGTTTTTGCTTTGGCTGAGAACAGAAGATCGGGCTCAGAAAACCAGCACCAAGCAGACTGAACAGAAGGCATGGGGGGGGGGGGCGTGTGGGTGGGAGCGGGGCGGGAGTGGCACGTTCCTACCCAGCCTCTCCAGGAGGAGCGGGATGGAGAGGGAAAGCCCAGGAGGCTGCCTCTCCATCACGGCTCTGGCAGGTCCCAGCCTTCAGCCTCTGCGACGTCAGCTTCCTCCAGGACCACGCTGCAGCTGCCACCCCCATCGTCCACCCCAGGAGCCCCCACCTCCCTCCCCACCTGCCGCCTTGAGGACCCGGCTTCCTGCAGGAAAGAGGCAGCGGCCACGGCGGAGGGGCCCTCCCTGGGAAGCCCGTCACCGCCTCAGATGAAGCGGTCCCCGCTGAGTGCTTTGCCAGGGTCTACGAGGCAATTCAAGATGAGAAATGGCACGGTGGCTTCGGGAAGGCAAATCATTCCAACAGCACCTTAAAAACATCGACAGCATCAAGCTCTTTGTGTGTGTGTGAAAATGGGGAATATATTGTTTTTCACTGTTTGGAAGACTGTTTTCTCATCTTGAAATCACAAGCTGTTTTCTTCCAGAGAGACTTATAAATACATCCAATTATCGACATTCAATATAGGAAATAAAGTTCTGAAATGGTTTTCTTCCGCACATGCGGAGTGGGCCGGCCGGGTTGCGCAGGTGATAATGACTTTTATTTCTTGCAAGTCGAAGCCGTGCCGAGTGGCTGGTCCCGCCACCTTTTATTGCTTTCACCTTTATTGCATTTCCCGTGTTGTGCTGGGCTATTCATTGGTGTAACTTGATTACCACTTTCAAGATCTTGATAAAAATGAATGAGAGTCCTGATTCCGAAAGTGTGAGTGCCCAGTCCCAGAGCAGGGGGGTTTGGTTGTGTGGCTTGTGTCCTGGGGGCGTCTGGAGTCTCCCTGGCGGGGTGGCTCTCCCTCTGCCAGTTCCAAGTTCCTGGACATCGGCCATTCCTGGGGACACTCACAACTGCCCTTCTCCCCGGTTCCAGTCAGGATGGCTGGTTTTTGTTTTTTTTTTTGTTTTGTTTTTTTTTTAAGATTTTATTTATTTATCTGAGAGAGAAAGCATGAGCAGGCGGAGGGGCAGAGGGAGAAGCAGACTCCCCACGGAGCAGGGAGCCCGACGTGGGGCTCGATCCCAGCACTCTGGGATCACGACCTGAGCGGTAGGCAGACGCTTCACCCACTGAGTCACCCACTCGGTGGCCCGCGTCACCCACAGACCCACTGAGCCACCCAGGCACCTGTCAAGGGTGGCATTTTAAGGAGGACACTTTGGCCCTTCATGAAATCACCCACAGACTGTGTCCCCAGTGGCCACGTAACCTATCCATGCCACCATTAAGACTGGGGTCACCTGTGACTCTGCCTTCTATTGACCTCACACCTGCCAACCCTTCCTCTTTGGGGTCCTGTCCCTCTCCTGCCTCTTCCTCCCAAAGGGCCTTTGTCACCACTCCCCCATGTGACTTCCAAGCCTCCCTGGCTGCCTGCCTGCCTTCAGTCTGTCCCCATTCAAAGTCCCCGTGCTCATCAGGATTCTTTGCAGCAAACAGCCCCAAGTCTATCTCAAACAGAAGAGAGATGTGTTGGAAGGATGTCAGGCAGCACATTTAAAGGAGAGGCAGTTCCAGAAAACAGGCGGATTGGTGGCCCGAAGCACAACCGGGCCACACCACACCATGCTGCCCGGAACCCTCGCCGCTACCTCTGCCCTTGGACGTAACCTTGGACTGACACAGCATCCTGGCCTCACATCCCCCATGGCCAAAACCCTTGGTGGGCAGTGCAGCCCACTGCAAAGTCCAGGCCTCATGCCCACCCTCTGGCTATCTCACCCCTCTGGGCTGTGGGGCAGGGGCAGGAGAGGAGGGTTGGCTACCTGGCATGGCACGGAGTCCCATTCTCCAAACAGGCAAGGGTTAAGATGCTGGTGCATATACACAAAGCCCCATGACACGCGGTGATGGATCAGCTTGGGGTGCTAGCGACTCCCCCCTCCCGTAAATCCTTGAAACACCCAACTTGGACCAACTCGTCCTGAATATTGCGAGCAAAAAGTCGAGAACGCAATTATTTCCATTTCAACACAAGTGTGAGTTTCTTGCTTCGTGGTTTTTATTTTCAGTTTACATGGGAAGCTATATAATTTCCATTTCCTCGGCTCTAAAGATCTTGCCTGGCCCTGCCTGCATTTCACTGACAAATAAATATCCCCAAGCACGAAGTGGCCCATTAGAAATCATGTCATGGGGAAAGAGGCGCGTGGCCGTCCGAGTCACAAGCCCGGTCCTCTGACTTCTCTGGTCCTCACTTCGCCCATTTGGAGAGGGAGACGAGATGCCTCTAACCTCTTTACGGGGCAGCTCCGAGGGTGAAAATGAGGTCTTGGGAGACAGTTTACACGGACGTGGCAATAGTCCGTTTTGTTCTTATCATACTTCTCATTAGAGAACATTTACATGGTGGTGAGGGATGTGGATGTAGGAAACTAGGTCCCATTCCTGGCTTTGCTATTTATTCACTGTGTGGCCCTGGAAAGCTACTCAACCCCTCTAGGCCTCAGCCTCCTTGTTGGTAAAGTGGGGGTGATGGATCTGAGTTTGGAGGATTGTTGTGGAGATGACACAGGGCGGTCCTATGAGGCTCAGCACAGCCCCTGACTCACGGTGGCCACCATCCTCATTTCAAGGGTCCGGCGAGAAGTAGGGACATCAGAAAAGGACCAGGACCCTTGCCCCATGCCCTGTGAAGTCACTCTCATCCCTGTCTACCTGCAGAGCAATTTTGACACGAAGAAGTGAGTCCATAACCCCAAGGCCAGGTGGCCCGTGCTCATACCCTTTGAGAGGACTGGCTGGGTCCTAGGGCTGCCTGGCCACCCTGAACCAGCCCTGGGCTCCCTGCATGTGGGCTGGCCGTGCAGCCAGACACAGGGACGTGACAGGGCACCTTGCTGAGTGAGTGGGGATAGCTGCAGGGAGGGTGTTCCCGCTGCACCCAGGGCCCCTGGGCCAGCCTAGAGCTTTCAGGCTGCAGGGCTCCGCACGTAGGCCTGGATTTGCATGGAGAGAAGAGGGTGGGCCAGGAGGTTCATGAGAGGGGCCAAGGACGTATAATTGAATGCAAAATTGGCCTCCTATTCTTCTTGCTGCGTCCACACTCTTGCTTAGGGACGCTGCAGCCCACCCAGTTTCTGCAGCCCTGGGATCCAGGGGTGACCATGCAACTTACCCCGGATAATAGGACATTAGCAAAAGCAGAGGCCTTGGAAGGCGCTCACTGGCTGGGGCCTACCCTCTCGCCACTCTTGGTCCTGCCACCGTGTGAAGATGCCCTGGCCAGTCCGCTGGAGTGTTAGATGCCTGTTGGACAGCCCGCCAACCAAACCGGCAGACACAGAGGCTACGCTGGCCTGATTATCAGCCTCCGGCCAACCTGATAGCTGAGTGCAGACCCGAGAATGCATCGTCCAGCAGAGACCAGCCGAGCCGGCCCCCGGAATCCGGAGCTTTCTAAATGATTGCTTGGAACCATTACATCGAGTGAGTCACTCGTTATCCCAGTCTATCAGAACTGGAGGAGAGCCTGGGGCTCTGCCCCAGAGCTGAGGCCGAGGGCAGGTGCTGTAGGGGCTGTTTTCATTAGGAACTCCGGGAGATGCAGGGTCCGAGGGACGCTGCCGTGGGGCCCTGGGGAAAAGTGTGACCTTCACCTCACCCCAGCCTGGAGCACAGCTTCAGCCCGGAGAAGGTTGCAGGGACACTGGTTCTGACACAGCACCGTGAGGTTGCACTACTGGGGGGGTGCCCAAGAGGCAGCATCACCCCACAGCTAGGAGGCTGCGTGAGCTGGGCAGCGGTGGTGCAGAGAACCGGTACCATCAGTGGGGCTCCCTGGGCAGCAGCTTTGAGACATAGGAGGTGGGGGGATTCTGTGAGCGTCTATAAACATCCTTCTGGGGACCCCCAGGGATACCTGGAAGAGATTTTCAAGGAGACCGGAGGGCCCGTGTAATAGAGACAGGCTGGAGCCAAGTAAATGGAAATGACTCTGCCGCTGGGACAATGCATGCACCAAAAGCCGGTGACCTTGGCCTGGGGCCTGGCCCACACTGTCACATCCCAAAGCAAGGCTGGCATGGGGTACACACAACACGGGACTGTACCCAGGTGGCCTGGATGGGTAACCGAGACGGTCAGCAGGGAGTTCACCCCGGGTTAGCCTTGCTCGCTCAGACTCAGACCTCACGGGAAGCCAAACATGGGCAAGAGGAAAGAACTGCTCTCCTCAAACCAAAACACTCTCTCACCTACTCAAAGACTGGGGTTCTGCTGCAGAGACACCTGCCCAAGTCCAAGGTTGGGACTGTCCAAGCTGAGCGCTGGCCGTTATCCTCGGAGCATCTTTTACAAAGATCAGTAGACATTCCAGAAGTCCCCACTGCTGTGCTCATTCTCCAGACAGTAGCGTGGTCTCTGCGTCGGATGTCAGGCTCACCAGTGGTGTGAGGAGCCAGCTGGGGTCTCGCTCCTCTCCCCATGTTTTCTGAACGTTCCGTGCAAACCATCTTTGGGAAAATCACAGTTTTATTTCCTAATCTCAGAGATCAATATTGAGGGCTTGAGGGAGAATTTACTAGAAATATCATCTCGCAGTGGAAAGAGACCACAAATTCACCTGCAGGACCAGCTGTCGGCCGAGCACTAGGTGTCTCTGGGCCTCTCTGTGGGGTCCAAGTCCTCTGGGGAAGGTCCACTCAGCTTGGACAAGCTCTAAGCTCCTTCTGTGTGTTTTTTTTGGCGGGGGGCGGGGGGGCGTTGCAGAGAGAAGGTAACATGTAGACCAGCCCTCAGAGATCCTGATTTGCTGGGCTGAGGTGGGGCCCTGCCAGCTGCCTCTCCAGGGAGGAGGCGTAGACACTGGCCATCAGTCCTGAGCTCATCGACCTCCACCACCCGCTGTTCCCTTCCTTCCCCACGGGGAGGACCCTCCATGCCCAAGGCTCTCTGGTCTCTCAACTCTGGCTTCCCTGTGAGGCCCACTCCCACCCTTCCTGCGGCCTAGTGAAGAAAGCTCCCTGGGTGGCCAGGGCACCCATGGTTCCTGTGGGGCCCCGGCCTCCTGGCCAGAGAGCCCGCTCGCCCATCAGTCCCACTCCAAGCCTGACATAGAGTCAAGCTTGCTCAGACAAATGTTAGGAGGCTCTGGGGAAATAAATGGGAACGGCTACTTTGGAGAGCCCTTTAGAAATATCTATTAAAACCAAAAAAATTAAAACTAAGCCTTCTGACCCATAATTGCAACTCTTCATGATCTACCCTGAGGCTCCCCCTCTGCAGGAGCACAAGGAGATAGAAACCAGCGCTCTCACTGCAGGATTATTTGTGATAGTGAAAAATTGAAAGCAATCCATGAGTTCATAACTCTCATCTGCTCGCGTGCTGCGAGAGCAGTTAGGAGGAATGTCCTAGATCTACAGGTATCCGCGCGGCGAAGTCTCAACAGCACTTTGCTGAGTGAAAAGTAGAAGCAGGGCACGTACCGCGTCATGTCATTAATGTTTACAAACCCATAAAACCATAGACTGCACCATGAATTCTCTGTGGGCACATGTTTCTGTTGTAAAAGCACTTACAAGGTCTGGAAAAAGACAAACCGAAGGTTGTCTTCAGGGAGTGGGGGGAGGGTGCTGCGGGGGGAATCAAGAAGGAATGGAACCTTCTTTGGTGGTCTAATTCCTTGGAAAGGAGGAAGGTGAACAGCCATCCGCGTCACCAAAAATAAATAAAACCGCTTTAAAAAAAGAAAATCTCAAAAAAAAAAAAAAAAGGAAAAGAAAATCTCTATCTCAGGAACGTGCCTCAGCCCATTGGGGGTCCCTTGCCAACAGGGGTGGGGGGGCTGGTTTTAATCCAGAATCTGTTGGAGCCTCCTCTCAGGTGTTCCCTGCACCCTCACCCCCCCTCACCCCCACTCTGGTCTGTCTCCACCACTCTGCTTTCCCCAAAACCGGCTCCGGAGTCATAGTCAGACCCAGTCAGGGTTGGTTGGTTTGTGTTTGGAAAGAAAAGGCCTGGTTATGAGTTACAAGGATCTGGGGCAGAGCGTTCCAGGGCAGTGCCAGGATATGAATAAATGTGATGCAGGCAGGCTGGGCCTGAGAACCCAGGGGAGGGTCCCACGAGACCAGCCACAGGACCTTGGCTTCACGCAGAATAGAAATCAAACGTGAGCCAGAGAAAGTCAAAGCAGAGTTTATGGCCTAAGTGTCAGTGACAGGTGGAGAAAGGCAGACGGAGCGTCCGGGAGACCCAGAAAGCAAAGGGAAGGAGAATGATTCTCATCATGATCTTGGGGCTGGGGGTTTATTTTAGAAAAGGGTCTAGGGTGGGGCGCCTGGGTGGCTCAGTTGGTTGAGCGACCAACTCTTAGTCTCCGCTCAGGACGTGGTCTCGGGGTCATGAGATGGAGCCTGGCATCCGGCCCCGGGCCTGTCTCCAGGCTCCGTGCTTGGTGGGGAGTCTGCTTGAGACTCTCTGCCCCTCCCCCTGTTCATGCACCAGGTGCATGTGCTCTCTCTTTCTCTCTCTCTCAAGTAAATAAATAAAATCATTAAGAAAATAAAATAAATAAAATAATAAATAAAATAAAATAATAAATAAAATAAAATAATAAATAAAATAAAATAAAATAATAAAATATAAAATAAAATAAAATAATAAATAAAATAAAATAATAAAATAAAATAAAGTAAAATAAAATAAAATAAAATAAAATAAAATAAAATAAAATAAAATAAAATAAAATAAAATAAATAAAAGGGTCTAGGGTACCTGTTCCTCCAGGGTAGGGTCTGATCGAAGGCAAGTGTCAGGTGAACAGCAGGTGTTAGTGCGTAAAGCAGCGAAGGTAGGAGTGTTGATGCCAGCAGCAGCTGAAGTTTGTTTGAAGCCAACGTCCTGGAACATGTTCAGGATCTGACTCTTCTTAGGTGTTATCAGGTGCGTGGGGCTGAGGACAAAACTCAGAATATGACTGCTTGCTTCCTGCCCCCCCCCCATCCCCTCCCAAAGTGGGAACAGAGCTTCGTTGGCTTATTCAGAGGCAAAATATGGAACGTGAGTAAATGGGGCCTAACAGAGAAAGAGCAGAGACGGAGCCCTCCTAAAATGGAAAGCTCCAGCTTCCCTACTTGGGTTGGGTAGTTGGGGCTGCTGGGGGGTGGGGACTACCCTGGCTCGCAGGAGCCCAGGCCCCAGTGGCCAACCCCACCTTGCCACCCCTGCCCCACCGTGACAGCCCACCTGACTTGCCAAAGTCTGCTCTTCCTAAGGCCGCCATCCCCCAGCCTCCACCTCCACCCAGAGCCTGCCCACCTCCACCACACCGACCACTACCGGAGCCTCAGTCCCCCAACTCCTGTTCCCCATCTCCTCTCCCCACCCCAGGGCCTGCTAGCTCCTCCCGAGGAAAGAATCCTTCTGCTCCTGCTCCTCCAGCCCCTCAGGGAAACAGGGGGTCCATCCGATGGTGGACTTGCTGCCAGTGAAAGAGCCACTGCGGAGCCTTCGGCATTTACCCATCAGGGAAGTGACTCTCCCTCCTCCCCTCCCCAAGATGTGCAAGAGGAGCTCAGCCCCCTCCACCCTTCAGAGTTCCAGCTTCCTCTGTGGTTTCCATGGATTCCGAGATGGCTCCCAGCACCTGAGCCCAGAGAGAGGGGGAAGGGAGGGAGGGAGTGGCCCAGGCGCTGGCCCAGGGCTGGGGAAGCTGCTCCACTGCGGTCCCCCCCAGGCCCTCCTGCCTGACCCCTCCTCCCAGAGATGGGGGTGGCACCTGGGCTCCTGGAGTGGGGGGCCTTGACATGTCTCATCCTCCTTCTGGAAAGCCCAGGGGGCTCCAGGGAACGTGCTCTACCTTGAACTATGACCTCAAAGTCGGCTCCCTGAGGGGCTGTGACCCCCCCACCCAGAAAATGCCGACTGTGACCATAGCCAGAGGGGACAGTGTCCAAAGTAGGCAGGTAAGGATCGCACTATTGGTGAGAAGAGCCGGGCAGCTTAGGGAAGTGGCCAAGGACACCAATGGGTCAGTCTCTGTTCTGCGGGACCAGGGGGACCATGTGTCTGGGGGCTCTAGGCACTAGTTGCCGCATCCGGACCACCAGAGAGAAGGCAAGAAAGTTCTGTGATGGATGGGCACTGACCATCGTCCCCTTGGGAGTGTCCATCCTGCCTGGTGTAGCCCTCCCAGAACAGGCTCAGGACATTCTCCATCCTACTTCCACTCTCCCAGGTCCACTGTCGCTGCGGCACCCCAACAACACCCCAACACCCTTTCTCTCTTGAGGGCTGCTGGGTGTGCAGGCCCGAGGCATGGCCAGGCCACTGTCCTGCCCGGCGTCTGGGGCTTAGCTTCAGCGGGCTACAGGAGCACGGCAGTCCGAGTCAGGGCAGGCGGCCGAGCAGGCTACGGAAGGAGCCAGTACCGGCGGGACCCCCTAGGCAGAGGCTGTCCTCCCTGGGTCCTTCCCCTGGCCTGGTCTCAGCAAATCCTGAGAGCTGCCTCCCACTCTTCCAGCGAGGTCATCTTCACACACGTTTGCTCAAGTCCACTTTGGGGAGCCTGCCTGACACGTTTGCCCCTGGGCGGGTGGTCTTCCCCGGGCAGTTAGACTCTAGGGAATCAGTTGTGATCTCAGGGACCACCCACTACAAGAGGCCTCTGGGTGCTCTGCCTCGACTTCCAGTAGAATCCCCTTCCCCGTGGTGAGTTTTTAAAAGCTAGTGCCTAGCTTCACCCCAGACCAACTGAATCAGAATTCCCAGGAATGGGGACTCCCTGGGTGGCTCAGGGGTTGAGCCCTTGACCCAGGGCGTGATCCTGGAGACCTGGGATCGAGTTCCGCGTCAGGGTCCCTGCATGGAGCCTGCTTCTCCCTCTATGTCTCTGCCTTTGTCTCACTGTGTCTCATGAATAAATAAATAAAATCTTAAAAAAAACAAAAAAAAAAGGAATTCCCAGGAATGGAGCCAGGGCACTGGGATTTTTGAAAACTCCCTGATTGATGCCTACTGAAAGTCAGGACCCAAAGCGCTTTGAGACAGAGTCCTCCCCACATCTGTTGGTGGGGACTGTGGGGTAAGGGTCCCACAGGAGGGATGGCAGGGGTGGTGACCCAGCAGGGTCCCCTCTCTTTTGGCGAGCTAGCTCCCCCCTGGGCCCACATCCCTCCACTCCGCTCCCACCTCCTGAAGGCCACCCACGGGCCCTGCTCCCTCACCACCACCCCAGCCCTTTCCCCCTTACCCCAAATCCTGCCTCCATCTTCACGTTCAGCCTGACCCACGCAACCTGCAAAGGAAGCCATCTCTCTGCAACCTTAAAGCACACGGGCACACGGCTGGCCTGCGCCCCCGGGGGTAGTAAGTGTGAGCGTGTGTCCACCAGCAGACGCAGGCCAGGCTGCTCACCACCGCGCTGCTCAGGGGAGCAGCCGCAGCCTGGAACTACCCAGATGCCTGCCAACGATGGATCGGATAAATAAAGCCGTGTTCTCATACGGTGGAATCCATGCCAGCAAGAGGAAGAGTCTCAGAAGCACAGTGAGGAGTGAGATTTCAGCCAGACCCAGAAGAGCACACCCTGGATGGTTCCACGGCTGCCTTCACGCTCGGAAGAACTGAGCAGTTGCAACAGAGACGGCCGGGCCCGTGGGCCTAAAATATTCACTCCTTGGCCCTTTATTAGAAACATTTGCCAGGGATCCCTGGGTGGCGCAGCAGTTTGGTGCCTGCCTTTGGCCCAGGGCGCGATCCTGGAGACCCGGGATCGAGTCCCACGTCGGGCTCCTGGTGCATGGAGCCTGCTTCTCCCTCTGCCTATGTCTCTGCCTCTCTCTCTCTGTGACTATCATAAAAAAAAAAAAAAAAAGAAAGAAACATTTGCCAACTCCTGACCTATAGGGTGCAGGCGGGGGGCGGAAAGCAAGATTGTTTGATGTGCACCCTCTTTTGTATCACTTTGGCTTTTTGGACTCATGAATGAATGGATGCTCTGTTTATTAAAAAAAAATAGAATAAAAACCAAATCAATGAAAAAAAATTTTTAAAAACCCCATCGAAACTGTTGGAAGCGAGAATAATGGCTCCCCATGGCTGGGAGGGCCTAGAAGGGGGCGCAGGAGGGTCTTTGAGCCCAGGGTTTAGTGAAAGCACAGGGGCTGCATACTCGGGTGTAATCACCTTACCATGTGCGCGCTAAACTTCAGTGAGAGGTCGCGGTGATGGATGGGGCTGCCCTCCAGGAGAAGGATGAGGAAGAGGAGGGAGGCATCTGCAGGCCCTCTTACTAAAGCAGGAAAGGAGAAGAAACCTAAAGTGTCGGGTTCATTTTAAAGTCAATTGGAAAAAAAATAAAGTCAGCTGAATACTTGCATCCTGCTGGGGACCTGTCCGTCTGCGCCTCCCAAGGCACCTTGTACTCCAACACCCAGGTGTTGAGAGGTGCGGACGAGAGGCCAGCCCAGCCCAGCCCAGGCTCCTCGTCCGCCCCACAGACCTGCCAGGTGCCTTCCAGCCTTGTCCTATGTGGCCTGGGCTGGGCTGGACTGAGTCCTGGGGCCCTGGGGCCCCCCTCCCTCCTTCCAGAAACTCTCCCTTGCTTTGTCTCCCACTGCCCCCCCACACCAGGGCCCCCCACGGCTCTGCGGAGGGCCTCCCCGTCCTACCTCGGCCCACGCGCTGGTCACGCAGCAGCTTAATCTCCAGGCTCGAGTCTTCCCTTGGCTGCACTCCCTTCGCCCAAAGGAATCATCAAGCCTCCCAGGAACCAGCGGGCAAGACAAACAGCCTCAAACAGTCCCTCCTCGACCCTGATCGTCACCCTCCATCTCCGTGACCCCGCGGCCAGCTGCACACTCGGAAATCTGGAGTCACCTCACCTGCCTGGACATGTCCCATCTGTCACCAAACGCTGCCAGCTTTCGCCCTAAATATTTCTGGAATCCCTGCCCCTCCCACACGCACTGGCTTGGACCCAGCTCTTCGTCTCTCTCCCCAGGGTTATCGCCAGCAAGGCTCTCCCAGCTTCTGCCCGGTGACCCCCTAAATCAAAGAGGGTCTCATCTTGGCCGTCGCGGCCCGCAGCGCCCCGGGGATGGCGTGTTACCCTTAGGCTGAGCAGGAGGTGCAGGCAGGGCTGCATTTTAGAATCGCCTGGAGAGCTGTTAACAAGGTCCCATGGACTGAGCTGGGCCTCTGGGCCACGGGGCCCCAAACATCGGTACAAGGCCCCCTGCCTCCTGTTGCCAGCTCCAGCCCCATCCTTCTCTGTGCTCCCCCACCCCAGGCCCCCCTTCCCGGTTCTACCACATCCCTGGCACCCTGGCTCTTCGGCTTGCAACCCTCCCACACCGAGTAGTGAGCACACTGTTCCTCCGGCCTCGACACTTGTCCTCCCTGCCTCCGCCACCCTCAGGGACAAGCTGGGCTTTTTCCCTCCCTCTCTCCCTCCCCTGCCTCCTGTGGGCTGGGGTGTCCTGCACCCCCCGTACCCCCTGCCCCTGCCTTTTCCTCCTCCTCCCACGCTGGCCGTGTCCCTGGTAGAATTGCGCCAGGAGGGCACAGCACGCGTCTGCCTCTGTCCTCTTGACACCGATGCCCCAGCCCCGGCCTGTAGGGACCGCAGGCTCAGCACAGACAAGGTCACGGACGCCCTGCCCTTAGAGACTGGAGTGACTCTGCTGGGTTTTTTTTTTTTTTAATTTTTATTTATTTATTTATTTACATTTTTTAAATTTAAATTCAATTTGCCAACATACAGTATAACACCCAGTGGTCATCCCATCACGTTGCCCTCTTCAGTGCCCGTCCCCTAGTCACCCCTCACCCTCCTCCCCTTCTGCAGCCCTTTGTTTCCCAGAGTTAGGGGGCTCTCATGGTCTGTCTCCCTCTCTAATTTTTCCCCACTCAGTTTCCCTTC